GGCAGGCTCACTCTGCCATCCACAGTGGGCACTGCCTGGCGTTCCTGGAGCGCTGGGAGAGGGGAGCGAGTGCTGTGGGGCAAAGGAAACCTCCTCTCCTGCAGCTCCCATCAGCACTCTTGCCAAGGGCTGCAAAGTTATTTTAGCAGGGAGCGCACCAGATGGTGTTGATGCCCTGTCTTCTTGCCGTGCTGGCAGGCAGGATTCCTGGCTAGGCATCTGGTCAGATGCCTGTTTGGATGCTAAAATCCTCTGCTCCAGAAAAATGGCCTTGACAGGGGGAAGAGGTGTTTGTTACTACTTACACTGAATGGTGCATCACCTGGTTTTGTTTTGGAAGCACAGGTAAACGAATAAGTGTATGTTTGTATTTGTATTTGTCATACAGGGATATTGCCAGATCAGTAAAAAAAAAAATATGCTGTGGATCACCGGAAGTCTTTCCTTCTGAACTCATCTTCTTAAACTATTTCCATGACGTAAATTCCAAGGTAAATTTTAGAAGTCATTTGCATTGAGCCATCAGCTTAGGCTTCATTGTTTGCATTTTAGCTAGGAAACTACTGGACCAGAGAAAACAATATTGTTTCTTTAATTAAGCCTTCAGATTTGTTTGAGTCTATCAGATTTTGGCTCTTTCATGAGACACAAACACAAAATCCTTATTACTACTTTCTTCCCTTCCCGCTCAGACTCCCTACATCTCTGAGTGGGCAAGAAGGCATCAAACAGAGCAAGATTTAATTTTAGCTTTCAGTGGCACAAGCTCCACGATGGGTGATGGGGCCAGACTGTCTCCCACCCTGTGGCTCCCAACCCCACGAGGCTGTGCAGTAAAGCAAGCACTGTTGGAATGCTCTGCAACAACACTGTGCTGTCTGTATGGCTAGGTGTTATTTTCAGCAAGTTAATGGAGCTGTGTACCTATCAGAACAGATACCAGAAGTTCATGGAAGTTCATTAACATGAGAAAAGAATAACAAAGACTGAAGAAGAAAGACTTTGAAAAATCATTTTTCCAAATTCGCCACTGATTTTGCAGTTCAGATTTTCAGAGTTTGTCCTCAAGACTTGGGTAGCTCCTTTCCCAAGTTAGTTGTTTGTGGCTGGTTCCCCGTGCTTAGGCCAATGCACATCAAATACTGCAGCATTAAAATCAACAAAGTGACAGGTATGCAGCTCCTGCTCAGACCAGCACTCTCTACTGTGGACAAAAGATAAACGTATCAGCTATTTTGATGTCTTTAAGCACTTGCCTTTATCAAGTCCTAAATTAAGTGGATAAGAAAGCAGAATTGGGCCAGTTCTGTTTTAGAGTTATCAGTAGAACATAGTTATGATTTCATTACAGACAGAATTTTGTTTGATCTTATCTCATTACTACAGGCTTGACTCGCTAATAAACTCTAAAAGCTCTAAAAGAACCCAAGGTATTTCAAGAAGAAAAGAATTATGAAAGCAATTTCAGATAAAAGAGGGCATGAGACATCTTCCTCAAAGTAGCATAAAAACAGTTGTGGGGGAAGTAGGCAAGGTGGAGCGGTCATACCAGATAAAACAAAACAGAACAAGCACCACACTCCTTAAATATAATTAGTTCAGGACTCTAACAAAAAAGCATCACCCCCGTTTTCAGATAGCTTCATGAAAGCACAAGAAGATTTTCACTGTCCACATCACAATTTGCCCAAGGCAGACCTTCAGACCTTCCTCACTTGGTTCCAAATTGTTAAGTAAGAAAAAGCATGAAAGCATATAACACTTCAAAGATATAACCCCCAACAACTCCAGGGCTCAGTCCTAACCCAGCCTGTACAGAAGTCTGAATAAATGATATATACACTTATGTTCATAATGCAGGGTGCCTGCAGATCTCAGCCTGCCTCAAGCACTTAGCATCAGCTGAAGAAGCATAATTCCTTTCTCTGTAAGCTGACACACCTGCAGGTAACTATCTGCTCTGGAATTTATTTCACTGTGCCCTCAGCTAAAGCTATCGAACTGATCCCTTGGATACTCCCTAATGGCACTGAGATTCATGTCAACCCGCTAAGAACACTAAGCAAGCAGCTGAAATCTCACAGCTAAGGAAGGTCTCAGCCCCCTGCAGTCACACCAGCCATCAGTGGCAAGGCAGAGTGGAGCCTTGACAACCACTCTGAAGAACCACAGCCAGAATGCACCATTATTAGCAGCTGCCCCCTTTGAAGGCACAACATTATTGGCTTTGAGATCAGACACAAGGAAGTGCAGATCAATCTGCTTTTTGTACTAACAATTAATGATAAACCGGGATCTGTTCTGAACCCAACCGTTAACTATCAAGAACACAGCACTGGCAGCTATTCATAAAAATATTATAAAGCTATTATAAAATTTTTTTTCTTTAATTCCTGGACACATTGAAGCACCTTCTTCCTCTCTATCTATGGTATCAACTGATTTTCTGACAAAAATCAGGAGATCTTGATGACAAAATTGCAGAATTCTTATGAAAACAAACTATAGAAGTAGGAGCAGTAATAACAGTCATAAGAAGGACAGCAAGAGAATAGCTGGGGCAGAAGAGTTATCTGAGGTTGAAGGAATCAGCTTAATGCTGCAGTTGTCTACTGTTAAAAAAAACCCACACCCAAAAATCCCATGAACAAAATCAAACCCAAAACCCAACAGATTTTTGCAAAGTACTTTGGCTCTGATGACTTGTGAGAAGTCAGGAGTCTAAAGAGAATTTAGGAACCCAAATATTCTGTTCAGTTTGGCCACTAACTCACAGGAGTTCACCAGGTCGTTCACTAGGTCACAGCCTTCTGCTCAACCAGAAACAACCTCTGCTTTTGCCTTTAGAACAGAAAGAAGCTCAGACAAACCCAATCCAGCCTGAGCTGCCCTCAGAAGCAGCAGGAACACCCTTCCTCAAAGCTCAACAACAGCTTCTGCAGGGAGCTGTAAATGGCTCTGTGACACTGAACTGAGGAGGAACATTTGGTACAGCTAATGCTGAGACATGCACTCAGTACACTCTAAAATACACAATACATACTCAGTTTCTCTAGGATCTCCTCATCTGTCATCTTGGATTTTTTTCGCTGCCGGTCTGTGTTTCTGTACAGAGTGTTTGTGTTTGAGTTTTCAGGTTGGGGAGTGGTGGCTTCTTTAGCTGGTGCTGGTGCAGCGGCAGGTTCAATTACAGAGCGTGTGTAGATCTGGGAGAAGAAATTATCTGGTGTCAGAAAGATGGCAGAGATGTCATTTTTCTCATATTTCTCATATCTCTCATATTTCAAATGTAAACCCTTAGGATGATGGTGTCAGCTCTAAAACTGCTTGGTTTTGCTGTCCACTTCTCATACTGCATGGGCAAAAAATGAAAGGTTACAAGTTCATGGCCAGTTTCACATTCAATTTTCACAGATTTTCTGAAAAAGTCCATGGAGAAGGGCAGGTACCTCCAAGAACAGTGTGTCCTACGGATCCTGCCAGGGTATACAAACTGTGTCTCTGGACCTCTCTCTCTGCTGACTTGGAGCCTGCACAGGTACTGTGGACAAAGTGGCTCACTTTTACACCCACAGCATTAAAGGACATGATGCTACCTCTTATCTCATATGAAGAGAAAGTCACAGCCCCTGTCAGAATCCCAGGAAACTGACACCTAAACACGGAAGTTGGAAAACGGTTTTCCAGATGTCAGTGGCCGGGGTGAAACGCTGTGTCATGGCAGGACCTCTGCCCTCAGAGTCCTCAGCCATGAACAACAAGTGCTGTCTGATCAGGAACTTGCAGCTCTGGACTGCACCAAACACAGTGCTAACCAAAGCTGGCGCTTACTGATTTTGTATGTTCAGGCCGTGGTGCGATAACAGGTGGAGGCTCGTTGTCATCTTCTTCCTCTTCTTCATCTTCATCCTCTTCTTCAGACACGGAGGGAGCCAGAGGAGGTTCTGATGCTGTTTTTGTGCTCTGTGGACAGATAGTGGTGTGAGGGACAGTCACCATTCTGCCACTTTGGAGTTTTGATAGTTACATAAAACCTCAGTCTCCCAGGGATGAGAATCCAATCTAGACATGCACATGCTCCTATGGGCCCCAGTTCTAACTTACAGCACAACACAATTTAAAGGTATTTAAAGTCAGGTGAGTTGAACTCCTCCAGTCCCAGCTGCTGCTCAGAGGCAGGGAGTTATACCACATCATCCCAAATTTTGCTGGTAAAACAAAAAAAATGAAAATGTGCCTTGTGAAGTGTTTACCAACTGCTTTCCAGCTGGCTGCAAGAGGCCACTTAAGAGAACCAAAGCAAATTGAAGGCATCATTCTACATATTCACATCTCATTGGCACTCTTTGGTCATCCCTTTGGTCCAGCAGAAATAGCAGGAAGGGAAACCCACAGCAAACAGGGAGACCTGAGCTGCTAACTTTGGAAAGCTGCCGTGCTGACTGTCTCGCTGCTGCCTCTGTCTGCTAGAAGGAAATACCACAGCATCTGCCAAGGTGTCCCTGCAAGGCTTACTGTGCTCTGGTGAACACCACACTTCCTCTGAAAAGTGGGTCTTATTAAAGATAAGGGAAGTGCCATCGATTGGAAATCTGAAGTGTGAATATTCAAAGATAATTTTCATTTCATTATGCACAGTCTGCTGTGTAATCACAAACCTCACACGCAGTTGCTTAAACACTTAGAAATAAAAGCCAAATCCCCAGCCAGTCACTTGCTATTTAATGCACTAACAATAACCCTAATAAATTTGGTCACTATTAATGTGGATGTCATTTCTACATCTCTGGGAATGCTCTTGCAATTCAGCATTAATTAGAGTGGATGGTTATTTAAAACTTTCTTTCAATGGTTCCAGTGAGTTACATATCAATTATAATCTGATTTATATTCAGCTATATATCCAGCTGTACTAAGGAGAAATCATGAAATTTGATAGAAATGGGATTCTAAGTTGTTAAAACTAAATTAAAATGTGCTCATTAGACAGCACTGCATACTGTTGAGAATTATATATTCCATCATGGCTAAAACCAGCGAGCAATCTTCTGTCTGCAAAGTAAGACTTTCACTTGTTTCAAAGCTCTTAAACAGAATGAAAAAATCGCCAAGGAAAGCCCATGGCTTGCTCCATGATCCTTAAACACCAGAGGCATCAAAGGTTACTTTTCCACTCACCGAAGGATGGGCTTCTATGTATCCATGGGCGCTTTTATCTGCAATGAGAAAGGGAAAATGAACCAGATGCTGTTAGGAAGAAAAACTGCCTGTTGTGGGGAATCCCACAGAACAAAGTCAACACCACCCCTCCAGGAGCCACGGTTCTTTTATACAGCAAGGAAGAGAACAGGACAAAATTCTAGATTGTGTCTAATTTTTGCCCTGTTGCGTTTCCCCAAAATCCCCCTTAACCATGGCAGTTCTATTCTGACAACACAGGAACAGCTCCTGTGCTCAGGAACACAAATTGTTCTAAGGTTTGCATTTCGTCACAAAGGAAATCACTGTTTTAGTGCACAGTAAGTGCAAATTTAGTCAAATACTTTAATCAGGGAATTTGGAAAATTCTGGAGGTAAGTGGAGTTTTTAAAAGGACTTCTGAGAAGCTTTCCTAGTCTGCATTTTGGAAGCTGTCTTGGTTGGACCATCAAACTAAGGAAATGACAGCTCCAGTGCCACAGACGATCCTGTGGAGGGAATGGAACCCTTGCAGGTTACATTCCAAAAGCTGTGCAGACCCCACTGGCTACAGACACCTCCTTTTTAGCTGAAGTTGCTGACAGGAGCTCTATCAAACTAGTGGTATCTTAATGGCATTTCTGTTTCAAAATCTTGGTTAGCTCTAAAAAACAGCTACAAAAAAAGGTCACCGTTTCAATGTTTCAATGACATTTGGAGGAGATAAGGAATTCATTTTAGGAGACTTTCCCAAGTTCAGGTTCCTTCTTGACAACTTGAACGTTGAATTTTGCTCTGACTCATTTTGAAGCCTGACCTTCCTTTTTCATAGGGAGATGTCAACTTACCTCCTGACGTAAAGCTCATGTATTTCTGGTTGTTAACTGTTTCTTTGGAATCATAAAATTTGAGAACATCTAGAACAGCCTGTGGGTTCTTCTTCTGCTCCAGTTTTGTTATGTTGGAGGTCTGTAGTAGCCTGGCCCACTGCTCTGGAATGCCCTGTAGTTGTCAAGTGGAAAGAAATTGAGTTTAGAGTATTTAAAATCCGCAGCCTCGCAGATCTTTACCAAGATCCCATGCTCCCTGCAGCACAAATTCACTTGCAGGAATTTTGACTGACACCTCACAATTAAAATTAGATGCAATCATTCTCTTCTCTATCAACATCTAGCTAAAACCAGGACCCAACTTTAAAAAAGAAAAGAAAGTAATGACTGTGACAGGAAAAAAAGTGCATGAAACTCCTCTGGAAATCAATTCTGCTCTTCCATGGAATAATGATTTAAGGCTTAGCTTGTTTGCCTGGTGATTCAGTGCAGACATAACAAGACAATTATTCTCTATTGGTGGACAACACAGTGTCTTTTAGGAGCTTTACACGGGACTTTTCATGCTTAGGAATGCAAACACATTTTGCTGAAATGATCGCTGCTGTCTGATTAGAAGGTGAACCCCACTCTGATACAGTTCATTTCCATCATACCAGGGAACACTGCGGGGTAAAGAATCTGTCTTTCAGCTCTCAAAGTACGACACTGAGGTGTCCCACTGCTGCAAAGGGTGCCTCTAAGTTCTCTACTGCAAACATACAGAAACCAGGGACTCAGAAAACAGGCTGAGAGTGCCAAAGCCTTGGATGAATTCTTGGACATCTCATGGGTGACGGTGGCATTTGAAAATGGATCCAATCGCTGAAAGCCGCAGCTCTACACTGAAATTCTATTTATGAAAGCTTGCTTTAGTTATCCAGGATAATTCCCTAAATTTGACAGCCTGTCATTTCGCCCCTGTACTGCACAGCTGACAGCGACCAGTGAATTGTAGGGCTCACTGAAGAGAAACAACACCTTAGCCTTGGTGCCACCCCGATCTGCTTTCGTACAGCTTCTTCCTCAGAAGTTCTCCACAAAACAATGTGTGACATGGGCCTCCAAAGTTTAGGATTGATGAGAAAAAGTGGGAAAAGCCAAGCAACAAATCTACTGCACACACATCAACCTGCTGCTGCAGTGCTATGACATCTCAAAGAAGCATTTGGGGCCTGTGACGCACCTCTGGGAGCTTCCCTGGGCACATCTGTGAGCCATAGAGATCTGGCTGCAATGGACGTAAATAAAGAAAGAAAAGAAAGTTAAAACAGAATGTGGGACAACTCAGAAGGTGGTAGGAGGAGGAAACCAATGGGCCAAAATGGGCAAACTCCCATCTAAAATGGGAGTTACGAGGCGGATACCAAATAGATCTGGTGGTGGACAGGCTACAGGGAGGCAGGCTTAGGAAAACAGAAAAACCACAACCATTCCAAAGTTTGGAAGCATCATTCCCCCTCCTCTTGCTTTTAAACCAGTTTTTCTCTCCCTCATAAAAATACATTCCTGAGAATTAATGGCAAGTGACTGGAAAAATTACTTGTGATTTCCTGTCCTAATTCAAAAAAAAAAAACCAAACCAAAACTATCTGGCCTTTCGCTGTTTGCCTGGTTTTGAAGCCAGGTTAACACTTTTGAATGGTTCTATACAAGTTTTTTCCAAGCTTGGGGGTTCTGCAGCCGCGAGATCACCATTGGCCAGTGCATGAGTCCCCCAAGTGATGTGGAGAGAGCAGCCAGTCAGATTGTAAAATCCGGGAGGTTGTGTATGGCCACAACTCAAATAATCTTTATGTGTCAGACTGAAAATCTTGTAAAGAAATGCTTGATTAGATTAGGAATGTGCAACTTCTTTGGATCTACAGCCACAACTTTTCCCACTTACTAATGTCATAATCTTGAAGCTTTAAAAGTTTGGTGGGTGACCACGTTTTCTTCTAGATTGGGGATGAGGAAACAGCTTCAAACGTGCATGCCTTACAAAGAACACTCCCCAAAGCCCTGCTAACCACACTCTGTCCTCCATTCAGAAAATGCAACTGTTTCTTCAAATAAAGGAACACAAAGCTCTAGCAGCATGCTCCCACCCAACAGTTTCCAACCAATTTTATTCTCTGCTTCAAAAGCCCTACTTCTTAGCAAATGTGGTTGCTCCAAGCACAGTGAAATGGGAGACATAACATCTGTTCATGATGGACGGCACAGCTTGGTGCTCAAGCCTGAAAGCCAGAACTCGGGAGCCCATGCAACTGTGCATTGGGATGCAACTACCAACAGTCAGGGGATGCAGCTGGGGGTGATGGTTCGGTGTCAGAGAATGGCCCAGGGGGTTGCACATAACCAGGAGAGCAGGCACGACTGGCATGACAGCTGCAGTAATCAGAAAAAAAAAAAAAACAACCCACCCCATGTATTTGCACATCTATCAAAACACTTCCATGGCACTTCCAAACTTTTGAAAGAGACAGACAGAGTGACCACTAGACAGTGGGAATATTTGTAACATGACACGGCTCGTGGAAGTCCCTTCAGCAGGACCTACTTACCACATGACTACCCAGCTGATACACGGGTTCTATCCAGGTTGGGACAAATCAAACAAGCCTAATGTGACGTGGAACATAATGCCTGCATCTGGGATTAGCTGGGACTGACAGCTAGTTCCTAATGATGCAAAAACTCCCTTGCTTTCACTGATATTTGACTGCACTAAGGACTGCAGCATAAGCCCTGTGCTGGCAAGCTGCACAGGGGAAGTCACCTGCCCCTTTGGTTAGTTTTGAATTGGTCAGAGCCCTCTCAGACCGCAGCACTGCACTTCCACACTTCAGGAACAAGTGCTATTGCAGAAATACTGTGCAGTTGCGAAATAGCAGCCATCTGATTCTCCACTGTTTGGAAAGGGGAAAAGGTATTAAAAAGGAACTGTGTTACAGCAACAAAGCTGGATATATTTAGCCACGTAGAACTGCTGTGCTCTATAAAAGGCCAGGACCTGTGTTGGTGGCATCTGACACAAATTAAAAAAATCAAGAAGCCAGAAGCTCTGATGCTATCATCGTGTTTTGACACACGGGATGCTAACAACAACATTCAAAATGATCCAAACCCTGAAATACTGATAGAGAGTGTTTGTGCTTAGAACCTAAGTGTGTTAAGCTTGACATCCCTCCTTTTTGTTCCAGCTGGCAGCGACATGAACCAACTGGGACCCTCACCATGAGTCAGATTATGGGAAACCCAACTGTGACCTGTCGTGTTTGCACAGAGCCAGAAGGAAAAGGCCTGAAGCACAGGGTAGAAATAAAGTGAGAAGGTTGGAAGGAAGAACAGATATAGAGTAAGAACAGCTGAACATTTAGTGGGGAGAGAAGGGAAGGTGGAAAGGCAAAGATGGACAGGAAGAAGTGATGCAAACACAAAAGGGAGAAAATAAAAGCAGAAAGTAACATAACATATGATACAAAGGTAAGGAGAATGGCACAGGAGATTAACCTGAACAACAAAGTGGCTACAGGGAGGGAAAGAGAGGAAAAAAAGGGAAAAGCCAGGATAGCATGGAAAACACAGTTTTAAAAGCTTTATGCTAAGGTTCTGATCAAAAATGGCCACATCTGGGCTTTTTAAATGAGCATTTAGTCAAGCCCTAGGGTTTGGCACAGAATAAATTTTGAAGTAAGATTTTATATATGACATCTATTTTAAAAAGGCTAATTAACTAGTTCACTTATTTTAAATGTAGTTGTATTTTCTAATTACTAAGGATAATTCAATTTCACTACTCCTTTGAAGACATGCTGTCATTAAATGCCTTTTTCTCTTCTACTGTTATTACTACTGCTGCTGGTCCTACTGTAGGATACAGAAAGTTCCCAGCTTTCTGAAATGTCTTCGTGAAAAAAAAGCAGCAATCAAAGGAAAAAAATAATTTAAAAATCACATTTAGGGTTCAAATTCTGAAAATTTGCCATCCTTTGTCCAGGCAAATGATTTGTCCCATCCTGTTTGGTGTATGCAGCCAGTCAGCACTACCACACTTCATTCACAGTTTGACACAGGGTGATTACACAGTCTGACCACTCAGCTCACAGGGCACTACAGGTGGCACAGAGAGTTGCTGATGCTCCCTCTCACCTCCACAGCTCAACCAAATGTCAGCTCACTGCCATCTCAGCTTTAAGGATTAATGAGTTCTGCACCTAACTAGTAGATAAGCCCCCTGCACACTTCAGGGAGCTCCTGTCAGGCTCATTCTTCCCAACACTTCATGCACTTTGTCGAGATACAAGCAGCAAAAGCTGACAGCTATTTCATTAATACACAAAGGCTACCAACGTGTCTGATCATCTCACGTGTCAACGTATTTTGAAGAAATTAAATTACAGTGAACGGACTTCCATAATGCTGCTGCTTTCTGGGTACCTCCAAGGGCTGCCTGCAGAGCACGTGGACTTCGCACTTTGAGGCTGGGTGTCTACCATGCACATGCGTGGGGGCTTTTTAAGCTTTTCCAAAGACACTGAAAAACCAACCCTTGTAGCAGCTTGGGGGACTGATAAAAGCATACACCTACGTCCTTCCTAGTTTTCATTTTCCACAGACACTCTGCTGACAATCCTTGGAGGAAAAAAAAAAAATAAAAAAGCAGCCTGAATCACAAGTTAAACACTCCAAATCCTAAGCCCAACAAAGAAAAGTCTCTTTCTTCACAGCCTGGGTGCTGTCATCTGATGTTTCTGGCAATAGGAGGTTATTTTACCAGCAATAAACCAGTAGCTCTGGTAAGTACAAAATACAGCAGTAACTTACTGTGAATTCTCCAGTGACGGCATCAAATCCCACATGAATGGTATGTTCAAAGTCTGAAGGAAGAGAGATCTCAGGACGTTCTTTCTCTTTCTTCTTGTTGGCTAGAGGCAAAACGTTAACAAGCACTTATTTTCTGTACAGCTTTTCATTTGAAACTTCTCACAATCAGCGTGCTCAAAACAGTATTTTAAAAGTGGAAAACAAATCAATTAACATCCATCTACCTTGACAAACAGATCCAAGCTAATACAACACCAGCCCGTCAACTCCTGTTGGGGAAGGTCTGGAAGGTGTTATTTCATTTTGGTTTTCTTTCAGCCCGTGGAACAGTTGCCAAAGCAAGCTGCTCATGAAGTAGCCTTCTTAGGCAACCACTAACCAGTAGGATTTGTATTATCAGCTCTTCTTTTCACTGAGTTTTCATATCTAGCAACTAACTCCTCTTTGTTAACTTCACTCTGTGGGTTTCTGTGGAAGTAAATCCCACAGCAATCACGTGTGCGTGGATCTTTTTTTCTCCGACGTGGTTTGAACCCGTTTCAAAACCAGCCAAATTAGAGAGGAGAGGTTTTTAAGACAACCAGGTTCCTAGAGGTTCTGTGAAAACTGGCAGCTCAGGAGGTGACTCCTCTGCCAAGTAAAAGGCTGAAGCAGCAGCTCTTCATTAGAAAACACAGAATCTGCACAGCAACAGGATCCCACAAATGCTGCTGGAAAAGCTTCATTTGAGCTCTCAATTAACTAAGACATATAATCATGAAATGAAGGCTTTATGAGTCTCCAGAAATTCGTTGTTTTTATATCATTCCACCAGTACTCCCAGAGTGTGGAGTGTCTTACTGAAGCAGACAGGCCTGGAAGTCAAGTCAGCTTGCATATGCTTCTCATCTCTCTCGCCCTCCACCACCTCTTGAAAGTAACGTGGCCACCCATCTCCTGCGCTTCTGACAGCTGACAAGTGTCACTTCAGCCCAGTTTTACTGACCCTGATAAAGAATGAGTGGAATAAAGGCTGAGAGAAGCTGCCTTCACCTTCCTTCAGTGTTTTAGTATTATATCTGCCAACTCTGTAAGTTCACCCAGGGGTCTCATCCAAAGGCTGAACTCACTGTCTATCAGCAACCCCCCCAGCCCGGGTCTGTCTTTGCTCACAGGCAGTAACCCCACAAGGACTGTCTTTGCACATCTTTCTTATTCTGCCTTACGGCCTCCTTTAGGTGGAAGATGCTCTGCTCTTCATCCAGAGTACTTTGAACGTTTCTAGTACTTTCTCTGCATTGCTGCATTTATCCTCCTTAAATAATTGTCACCTTTTCTCTGTGCTGCGCACCCCTACCCACTGCTCATTGATGAAATATTTTCATTTATCATTCAGTAGAGATGGCAGCAATATCTCAAACACAAATCCAAAGGCTTTTCCCCTTCTTTTATTGCTAAGATGATGTTTAATTTTCAGGGCAGATGTTGCCAGTTAGATATCATCTCTATGCAGATAACAAAACTGGCTTCTACTACCTCATCATTTGCAAGCAAATGCAGTGAAAATTAGATTTAAAGAATTATCAACTTCAGTTCACAGCAACAGTCAAATCTAGCAGCAAAATAAGGGATTACAGAAAACATTCCATCTGAAGCAGCACTTGTCCATTCCAGGACTCTCCTGCTGGAGGACAAGTGTTCCAGCTCATTCCCCAAGATATGGCTCATCTACTTCGTGGACCTCTGCCTACCAGACTGTGATGCAACACCTACGGTCCAAATGCTGATAAACTATAAATGAAATACAGAATTAAGCGTCTCTTTACAACACCCTCACCTCTGCCCAGTCTAAAAACTCTGACGCTTTTGTCTGGGCCCTGCAAACCAAATCACTGCTATTTCATACACACTGGCAAAATGATACAAAAAGGCATGACTTCTTGGAAGCACTGACTGAGTGGATTCAAGGGGTTTGTACTGGACATGCTATTTGATTTCCTTGCAAATGCCTCTCACAATACCCTCCTGCTGCACAGCACTTAGCCAGGAAGGCCTCCACGCCACCTCAGCACCTATTACAGATGAAAATAGAACAAGGAAAGACTGTTCTGTCTCCCACGGTCTGCATCACCATCATCATCCCCATTATGTTAAAAGAGCAGTTGTTTGGGAGAAAAATGTGACTCAGCTAAGTGGCAGCTTTTCTCCAGAGACAGAGGAAGGGTTCGATGGTTACGCCCTCCTGTTCACTCACCTCCTCTTCAGCTCATTCTCTTCTTTCTTCCACCCCTCATCCTTCCATTCTCACTCCTGCCATCCTCTCATTCTCCTTCCTGTTCTGCTCCTCCTGTCTCACCCCAGCAGCCTTGGCATTTTCTTTCTCCTCCATTAATCTTTACCCTGCTGGGTTTTCCTCCTTCTCTCTTTTCTTGTTTTTCTGTACAGGAGGCAACCAGATGCCTAAAGGCCACACTCTGCACCCACCTGCAACCAAGTCTAAAGCAGCTTCAGTGGAAGTGATACCATTCAACCAGTTAAGATAAATGGACCTCTGCGGATGAAAGAGGTACCTGAGCTGTGGTGGGCCAGCTTCCCTCTGATTTTTTTAGGCCTTCATGGAGCCACCAGTGCACACACAGTGTTCATTTATTTCACAGCAATTACAGATGGTTTAATGAAAGAAGAAAAAGGCTGTATCAAACAAGTGGTACAATACAAGTCATTACTTTCTGCTCTCAATTCTGCTGAGGTAACACCTCTGCTGACAGGAAGCACTAATGCTGTGAACTCCATTGTGGCTCCCACCACCAGCATTAGCTCTGAGGGAACAGGTTCAGCTCCTTGTTCCACAAGGCTTGCCTGAGTGGCACTGGAAACTCATTTCAATTGTCTGCCTTGGCTTCCTGCCCTCAGGAAATGGGATACCTTACCCCAGAGACAGGAGAGAGAGGAGCGTGAGTGAGGTGAGGTTCTCTGGGAAGGAGCAGGACACTACTGTCTACACAGGTTATTTCAGCCGTAGATGCACAGAAGGTCCCACAGAGCCATCAGTGGCTTGCCAAAATAAGTGTTCAAACCCTAACTGAAAATGCTGCAGTCCAGCAGGGGAGTGACTGCAAAGATTCCTGGTGTCCAGGCACAGCAGTCCTGGCACACAACCACCTTGGAGGGAACACACCGTACCTCATCCATCCTCGCTTCCCTCCTGGCTGGTGAGCAAAGGAAAGACAACAAAGTCCCTGCAGGTTCAGGCAGAAACACCCTGCCACGGTGTCTCCTTTCTTCATGTTCTGTTTACTTCTACCAGTGGTGAACTATTAATATAACACTGTGATGCTGCAAAGCACTGCCCTAGATGAGAGCAGCCGTATCAGTCACCTTCTGTTTTGTAAGCAGGGCTCTCAAAAACGTGTCACAGAGTCTGTGAAGCACGCACAGACCAGCTGATACCGTGACCCACAAACCAACCCTGCAATGAAACCACCTCAAGGGGCTTGGCCAGTCAAGCTAAACTTCCTCCATTTATTATTTCACCCAACAAAATTAAGCTATAAATCTTACCTTACTTTTCCTACAGTCACATTTAAAATCACGACACTTGTATGTTTCCTCAGACTGCTCTGACTGGTAGTTAATTACATTTTTAATGTCAGTGATCATTTCCAGAAGGGATTTTTTCTGGATCTCCCCTTCTCTGCATGCATTTCACACAGCACCTCCTATTTAAGAAATGCTCCCTCAGAGAGGGATAATACCATTCTGCTAGCACTCAGGGGAGGAAGTGACCCAAGTCTTTCCAGGAATTAAAAAAGCCGGGAGAGGTTTTCATTTTGACCTTTAAAAAGAATCAATGGAAAATTAATTTTGTTCTCAGAAGGGGACATTTGGGGGAGCACATTGCAGAGTGAACCGCCCAGGTCTGCCTGAGGCTGAGGGCAGGAATGGGGCTGACACTGTGCCTTTTACTGCCTGTGAGGAGTTCTGAATGCCAGGCTACCTCCAGCTGCTCCGCACAACCTGTGGGAAAGACTCACGAATGTGGCAGCCGAGCAGCACACGTGAGCTGGAGCTCCATGGGAACGACCACAGCTCCAGAGTTCTGAGCTCTCCTTGAAGGGACAGAGATGCCCACTGAAGGCAGCAATTCCTTTTGAAATCCATCTGGATTTCGTGCTGCTGACCACAACCTCTGAGCTCAGCATTTCAGGCAGTTTTCAGTCCCCCTCACCGTACACTTATCTACACATTTTGTCTGTGAGGGTGCTGTGGGAGGCTCTCCTGAACACCTTACTAAAGCAGAAGTAACAACCACTGCTCTGCCTTCACCACCAAGCCTGTCACCTCAAGGTAAAAGGCTGTCAGTATAGCTCAACATGAATTCTCCTTTGTAAATCTCCGCTGACTATTCCCGATTGCATTCTTATCCTTCATTTGTGTGGAAATGGTTTCCAGGAGGATTTGCTCTACTACTTTCCCAAGGACCAAGGTGAGGCTGACTGGCCTGCAGTTCCCCAGATCCTCCTTCCTAAAGGCAGACGTGATATTTGCTTTGTTTCTGTCATCAAGAACATCCCCCAGTCACCCCAACCTTTCAAAGACAGGAAGAGTGGCCTTGCAGCAACATCAGACAGCTCCTTCAACATTTGTGGGTGCAGCTCATCAGTTCCCATGGCATTGGAAAAAAAGAAGATCCCTTCTCTTAATTCTGTCAATACACTACTCAAAGAAAGCACCTCCTTTCTGCAAATGCATTTCAAAGAATGCAACTGAAATGCTGTTTGTTGTACGCTTAAAAGACTCCCTTGCTGTAATCACATCTAGCACATTTTAAACCAAGCTGTTCTGTGTCCACTCTCACTCTAAAAGCAACAAGAAAGAAGAGCCTTGCTCCTCTTCCTGGAATGTAAGTCCTCTAAAAAAAACCCTCAAAGTGTCAGGCACACTGCCCTCTCACTTCTGTGAATGTATTTCCAAAAGTACACAAACCTCATCTGCTTTTACTGCTAATGCAAAGCCAAATTCAAAGGAAAGGATTCCCCAGCTTAACTATAAAGTTATTTTTAAAAGGCAAGTTGCACAATGTGGGCACACTTCAGTGGCTTTTCGGAGACAAGAAAATAACTGACTGAACACCTCCTCCTCTCCTGAAACGTGTCTCTAGAGTAACTGGAACAGAAGGCTTTGGTACCAGGGTCTGCAACTGAAACAGAAAAACAGCGGCAGAAAGTAAACACGGCAACCAACAACCACCAGAAAGCACAGCCACGGAGCCACCCATCCGCACTGCTGATACTTTACTTTTATCCCCTCCTCCTGGGAAGATGGAGCGCAGCCTGGCTTTCTTGTTCTTCTCCTCAGGGGCCATGGGAAGCGGTTTGGAGCTGTGGTTCAGTGCTGAAGAGTCGCGGTTGTTGCTGTTCATTCTCAACGGTGGGGCTGGAGGTTTCTCTTCAATATCCAGACTATCGGACATCTTCAGCAGCCCTCACAGCCTCCTGCAAGGCACAACACACAACATGCCTGTGAAGGGAGGACGCCAAGACTGGTGGCCTGGGGAGGAGAGAGGGTGAGAAAAGCCTTCTGGTGGAGTAAGAAAACCTCTGTGTTAGAGGTTTGGTCTGAATAAAGTTACAGCTGGTAACTGTAAATAAATTCAGTGGTCAATTCCTAAAAAACACTGTATTATCCCTGTAAAAGGCTTTTTAAGTATTTGCTTTTAACTTTTTCCCTGTAGTTGTTTACAAATTTTCTTCTAAAACGGATTTCCGAAGTCAAATTTAAATGTTTTACTGAAACTACTTGGTGTTGTAGTCAACCATTTTTATGAGGCAAGAAACAAGCTGCATATTGAGGGGATATGGGTAACAAGCATTAAGAACTCTGTTCCCTCCCTGCTATGTCTGGAGAGCTTAGGGCTTCCAAAGGAATTATCTTCTCCAAGGAAACTCATCCAGAAGTACGAATTAAAAAAAACTTTCTTGCACATAAAACTGAGTATGTGCTTACCTTAAAATCAATCAAAACCTAAGTTGGAAAATGTTCATATCCTGAAAACAACCCAAGTCTCATTCTGTCCTGCTACCACACGGCTTTGTTCCCACAGGAGGTGCTCACCTCCACCCGTACACTGAACCACAGGCAGCCACCCACCAGGCTTTGCTCCCTGGAGCTTTGCCTTCAGGCACAGGAGTGTCGAAAAGATTACACACTCCCAACTGATGAAGTCATGAACTGGAGGCAGCTGTCAGAGAGGACCACACCACCTGGGAAAGCACAAGAGATCCTTCACAGAAAACCACGGTCCCCAGCATGTACCCGGTCCCCATGAGAGGGCTCTACCCACACAGCCCAAGTGTCCAGGTAAAGAGCTGCTCTGGCAATGGAGGGACACAGCTCATCCTCCTATGGAAGCACAGATGGAGGCAGTGATGTGCTTTATATCACCCAGGACAGCTATAACCGTGCCCAGGCTAGGGCTTCTGCCAATCTGGTTTTCATGTACAGACTAGCCTATTTACCTAGAGAACTAAGTGCTTTTGTAGATGTAGGTCAAACAGTTAATATTACTAATCTTTGTGATTTCCATCCTGAAATGCAGAAGGTTTTCTAGTAAGGAAGGGGGGTGGGTAATAGTCAGTGATGAAAACTATTGTAGGGTAACAGGGAGAACCACTGGTGCTGTGTGTGTTATCCTGGGGAAGGGACAGCCCATGATGCCCAGGTACTTCTGCACAGAGACGGGTGATGGAATTCTCAGCCTCTGAAGCCCAGCAGAGACACCTGGACACGTCCGCCTGTCTCTCCAGCAATTCTCGCAGACCAGGAGCTCATGCAAGAGAGGCTTTTATTTGCTCTTTAACCCACCTACAAACAGTTTTCCAGTGCCCAAATCAGGCTCCACTCCCGAGACCATCGGCGCGAGGAGGACCAGAAGCTCCCACAGGAGCACCAGGGCACGTTTTCGGCCCGTTATCAAAAGCAGGGCGGTTATTCTGTGAAGTCCATTATGGGGGCACAGTCTCAGCTGTCCCTCAGAATGGGACAACTGTATCTGCCACTGCATCTATTTGTAAACAATGCCAGTTTGCTGAAATAGGTCCTCCCATGGGATTTCGTTCCACAAAGAATACTATTAACGGTTTCTGGCCCAATTTGCCTATGATGTAATTATTTCCAAGATTTTGAAAGGAACACTATATTTTGTTCAGAGCTGTTTCAGGCTCAGTTTCAAGAACTGTACAAAGCTCTTTTATTCATTTCTAAAACAGAAAAAAAAAAAGAGGGGGGAAGATAGCTTAAAAGGTTTAACGGTTGATATTAACTTTCTAAAGCTGGTCTAAATGAAGACTAAAGCAAACCACAAGATAATACACACCAAGAGAATTACAATTTATGGTTTTCCTGATCAGAGCCCATCTGCTCTTCCATTCATTCTAATTTTGAGAATTTCCATGTACCACTGTGTCACGACAAAACAATATTCACTATCACATAAGACTTCAGATTTTAAATATTTTGTACTTATTTGCTCCAACCCCAACTTAGAGAAAATCTGTAAAGAATGAAGGGCCAACAAGACATATCCAGCTGAGAAAACTCTCAAGTTTACATTGCACAGAAATGTCAACAGCAGACAGTCCAAGCCAGACTCTATCCTGGGGGCAGGTTCTCTCATCCTAATAACAAGTCCCTGCTAGTCTAGTCCTGCATAGGGCAATTCCATCAAAACCCACCTTCTGTCTATTGGAAATTATTACAGCATATCTATATATTCAGTTAGACAATTTCTGGTGTTCTTTCTCACTTTTCTTTAGCCTTTTGTTGTTGTTGTTTGGGTTTGGGGTTTTTTTTTGAGGGGGGGAGGTGGTTGGATTGGGTTTTTTTAATAATCAATTTAATAATTTAATACCAATTCCTGCCTCCCAGAAATAATCTCTGCTACCTCATCCTTTCACACTTCATCTCCTGTTCACAGAGACACAAGTCTCTCCCTCAAAACACACCTTGGTTTCATGAGTTTTTCCTACACCTCCTGGCAGGCTCGCAGGCAGCCCTGCTCTCTGTAACACTGGCTCAGCTCAACGTGCAAGGTTTGCATTCTGCCCTGGAGAGATATGGTCACAAAACTTCCATTTTTTAGGTGCAAGATGAAACATTGCCAAGTCTCTGAATCCTTGTTGATCCAAGTTTTCTATGCAGTACTTCAAGAAGCACATAATCCTCCCAAGACCTTCTCCCAAGAAGCTACTGAAAGCAAACCCCTCAACAAGACAAAAACAGCCTCCCCTTCCCTCCTGTGTCAGAACCACAGATTCTACAACAATGCTGAAGTGACACAGCCCATGCCCCAAACCCACAGGACTTTGATTGAAGGGTATGAAGCAGTTCCAAGGACTCTGAGCAAATGTTCCCCAGCCCTTGTAAGCTCGGGGAGCCAGCACAGCAGTGGTTTACACTCCCGTCACAGTTTTCAGACTTTTCCTGCAGCCCTGAGTGCTAGAAAGTAAATTTTTAAAAGCAGAAGTGAGATTGCAGAATAATTCTGCAGTGGAGATAAGATCCTGGCAAATCCTGCACGCAGAGCTGTGGAACACTTGCCTGGGTTGTGAGCACTGCAACAACAGAGCTGCCAGACAGAGCACCCAGCAGGGCTGTGACAGCCACCCAGGCTGCCAACAGGGACAGCTTTTGGAAGAGGCCAGCCTGTGCTCACCAAGAGGATGGAGTGCACAGTCAACAGGATCTTCCTCATCTCAACCCTCAAGGGCCCCATGACTGCAACCAAGGTAGTGCTGGTAACCCTTTTAAAAGGAACTTGAAAGACATGCTGGTAACCCTTTTAAAAGGAATTTGAAAGACAATCACATTTGTGCAACAAAGAGGACAGGTGACCAACAACTACCTACTTCCAGAGAAAACTCTTCTCAATGCCTGTTGGCTTTAAGGAAGCTTTTAAAGAGAGAGACTGCACCAAAATACAAGAGTGTATTTGAGTGTACTAGCTAGAGCTTCCAGCCAAGTGGCAAAACCTAAAATTAAATTCTCAGCCAGGTCAGTTGCTTCTGCACAACTATCACAGGGTTACAGAAGATGATCCAACATCCCTCCCCTTCCCCCATACCTCTTCCAACCATCAGTTTTGTTAAGTGTGAAGATAAACACTGACTTAAAATGTATGGCATTCAGCTTCTCTGTGACTCAATTCCCCCTTTGCAAAAGCCTGTCTTATAATACTTTTGCATCTAATTCCTGCCAAGCCAGGGAGGAGAGGAAGGAGGATATTTGAAGCACCCAAATGTCTTCAAAACAGCACACACACACACACACACAAAATTTGTTCAATTCAGTTCAAGTTCAGTGCAGAATCTCACGCTGGGCCTTGATCTCAGTAAGCTCTTCACCCCTGTGTATCTGGGAAACAGTGTGGATAGACCTTGAATAGCTTTCTTAAGTTAGCCCCCTTATTTCAAAGTCTGCAGCATTCAGACATGACTGGTTCCAATCAGAACTCACAAACAGTATCCTGTTTGCAGAGACACTGGTGCTCATTTTCAAAGCCTCGGAGATACTATTGCAGCTTGTGATGCAGCAAAAGTGTATCCAAGATCCCTTGGCTGGAAGGAACCATGCCAATTTTCAGGCAGTAGCTTTGCAAATGTAACTTGAAGATACAAGACTCACTCTTTGTTTATAAATATACTTCCTGAAAAAAGATATTTATTACTTAGTGGTATGGGCCAAATTTTTGCTCCCAGTGACACTCATCCATTTCCAAAAATCAATGGTGATGTAACTGAGAAGGATTCTCTCTAGATATTGAGTAATGAGACACTCTGTTTGTTAAGGTATTTATGGAGTACTTTCCTGCCCAGTTCAGACCTGTATGTGCTTTTCCACATCTGCACATTTACTTGCAGTTTTCCTACAGTTCCTCCAAAGAGCAGCCGGTGAGTTGCACAGAACAGATGCAATCACAGCTTCGCAGCTTTCATGCAAGATGCTTTACTCTGCAAAACCTGGTTAAGTTAAAATATCATAGTGAGGCCTTTTTGATAAAAAAGGGACATCAGCTGAAGCAGAGACAACTCTGCCTGGGTACTCAGGGTCCGTAACACCCCAGGGCAGTCTGTGCCCAGCTCCTTCCACCCTGTGAGTGTCTGCAGATCAGGGGTGGGTGTGTGGGGCTGGCTCTGCAGGCAGGGCAGACCCAACCAGGGCACCCTGGGGAGTAAAGACATCTTCTTCTGGGACCTCCCCCACATGCACGTGTTACAAGCAACTACTGCACCCCTTCTTTATACAATCCTGAAAAAAGGAGGCATTCACACAAACTACAGGAGGAATTACAACCCCAGAAACAACAAGAACGCTTCCCTTTCATACAACTGTCTCAAAGCACAATACAAACATTTGCCAATTAAACTTCCCCATTCCCCTCACAGGCAGGTAAACATGCTCTGAGCTGAACAAATTATTCAAACTGAGTAATTTCTTTGATGAATGTACTCTCTGTTCCTGTTTGCAAACACCCTGTAAGCAGCTTATGATTTCCGCCAATATATTCATTTATTCAGAAGTTATCCTCTGTACTTGCTACAAGTGACTTTTGGCCTCTAAACTAGCTGTTCATAAGAAGCTCTCTGTGTGGAGGGGATATTTTGAATTCATGTTGGATCCAAGTAAAACTACCTGGGTCACAAGTACTTGGAATGAAACATCCATTTGAGATGGGATAAACAAGCTCCTGTTAGGAATTGTGGCATTAAGAGTTTCACATAGTGACTTACTAATTCTGGTTCAAAATTCCCTCTCGACAGTGCACTTGCAGCAACAGTGCCAAAAAACAAATACAGAAGGGATGTTTGCACAGGAGCTGTGAATTTAATGGTTTTGACTAAATATTTGTTCAAATTTAAATTATTACGTCCTTTGTCCGGACCTCAAGTCACCCAGTTAAATTGCTAAGAGCTGGGAATGAACCAAAACAGTGGAGCTTGTCACCACTGATGGAAATAACCTGCAAATATATTTCCCCCCCTTGCTTAATTTCCATTTGACAGCATTTTTCAGCTCACAGCCTTTGAGGATCCATCTCCCCTCTTCGCAAGCGTAGCCTACCTATTTAACTGCACTTCTTTCCACAGCTCTTCAACTCCTTCTCTGCAAACTGCCAGTGCAACCACAGGCAACACACTTCACAAAACGCATCTGAC